GAGCTCATCCTTCTCTAATATGCACCAAGAACACTCCAAAACACTCAAAAGCTCAAGGATCTCACAAATGGGGTTTGAATTTAGGGTTAGAGAGGATGGAGGCTGAAGGTAAGAAGGGTTTGCAATAAGTTAAGGTCTTTAAATAGGGTCCAAGACTTGATTCTTCTTCGCGTACACCCTGCATACTCCTGGTACGCCCAACGTACCAGGGTGAATCTTCGCGGGCATTTAAGCCTAGTACGCCCAACGTACTAGACTAAACCCAAAATCCTTCCTAACTTCTAATGGTCATAACTCTCGCGTCCCAAATCCGATTTCGGCGTTCTTTATATGCTCGGAAAGGTAATGAAAAACCCCACCATCCCACCTTAATTAAATAAAAGGCCTAAAACATCACTTTTACCATTATACCCCTGGACTCCCAAAACACAAACCAAAAGCTTGGATCACACAACCTTTATAATCCACACTCAATTGGGTCCAAAACCCAAAACCTTGAAGTCCAGGGCCCTAACTTGATCCATTAATGCCCATAATTCCTGAAATAGGAAGCTTCTCGAAACCAGGTGTTACAAATATTTTCGATTTGTCCATCACTCAACTTTATAGTCCCAAATTTGGTGTGTCGGTTAACCACACACGCTCCACCAACGACATATAAAGAGTGATGTGTGTTTCATGGATTAGCATACATTTCACATTTTATCCTAAAGTAACTAGAGTTGGGATTTGTATAAAAGGTTCTAGTACTTTAATAGAATTATACTTTTAAGAGGTTATTTCCTATCAACCCGTTCGGCTAACGACCTTCCACCACACAAGGGAGCGGTGGATGAGAATAGACACCCATTCAACGATCATTTTATATATCGTTTCCTTATACCCCCTTATAGAATGGCTTCGTGAATGAGGCCTAGTCGATTAACTGACTTGTCTTATACATATAGTATATTATACTTCTAATCATATATAATATAGGGTGTATTTTAAATCTTTTCAAAATACGAGGTTTAAATATTAATTATCTAAATTATTATATAATTAATTAATCAATTTGAACCTATAATGATTTTATAATTATCCTTTAATTATTCTTATAATCAAATTAATTATTAAATTCATAAGAGATAATTCAATTTAATTTATCAAATTAAAAAATTATCAAATAAGGATATCTCCTAATATTTAGGGTTTTATTTATTATCACTCAGTGCATTCAAATTTCGGAATCGAACAAAATTAATATAGGATATTTACCAATATAATACCATAAATCAGATTAGGAATATAATAACCGAAAATCCAGAAAAATCGATTCTCACAGCGTGACAGATGCACTGTCACTTCGTGAGAACAATGTTATGCGAAAAATAGGTTTAATTCGATTCAATTCATGTGCAATCAATGTTTGACAAGCCTAAGCTCTGATACCATTGTTGGGTTTTATATAAAACTAAATTGTACAATGCGAAAAATAATTAACAATTAATAGAGTACATGCATCTTATAAAAGATCTATGTCATACACATTGATAACAACATACATTGAACAACTAAACTAGCATAACCCTAATGTAATTCGGAAATTGCAAGGTTTAAGGTTAGATACCTTTTGATTTGTTATTGCAAACAAATCACCAACCCTTGTAGTTATGAAGCTTGGAAAGACTAGCACCAGAGAGATGATACCTCTAATGTTTTGTACCCAAACCCTAGTAACAAAAACACAAGAGGAGAGAGGTGTAGAATTTCGGTTATAGGAGGCTAAGGAAACATGGACGAAAATATGAGACCCTAAGGTCCTATTTATAGCTGATAAGGAAGCCTCGGATAACCCTAATTTGAATATAATAATAATATCTCAAATATGATAATTATCCAACTCCTTAATGAGTTAGGCCCATTATTATAAGTTTTGTGCTTACATTTTTATGGTTATGGTTTCAGATACTTCCAGTTCGAAAAGGAAGGGCCCGACTTGATCACAACGCACCCACCCATGTATCCGCACTTTATGATTTTAGGATTGTACTCTAATAATTATTTTTACTTTGACACACTTCTGATTGGTTGATAAGGAAAAATGATATTTTGGGTTGAATTAAAAATGAAATTTTTACCTTATGATTTTTAGGACGTTACATTTTTATTGTGGCAAATAAAAAGTGCTACTAAAATCTCAAAATGTGTTACTAAAAGTAGCATATTTTTTAGTCAAATGAAGCATTTAATGGCTTAAAATATGTGCGACAAAAAATATTTCTTCTATTGTGACAAATAAAATAGTGTCACTAAAAGCCTAAAAATTTACAACAACAAAAACATAAAATGCCATTAAAGGGTTTTAGTGGGAGCTTTTTTAGTGACACATATTATTTGTGCTAAGTGACATTTTTTGGGATTTTAGTGGTACTTTTTGTATGCCACTAAATGACATATTTTTTGTAGTGTCTTTCGACATTAATATGTTTTGTTTCAATGTCTCTTTTTGTGTAGCCTCTTTAGAAATTAATATTTTTTGGTTGAATGCCTCTTTTTTTTTGTAATATCAATTATTTTAACTACAACGAAATATACTAAATATCATATATATATATATATATATATATATATATATATATATACACGTTAATTTATACCATTTGTTGTGTCTTCACTGATTTTTCTCATTGTTAGTATATTTCTGACTATTTCTATTCTTAAATTGTTAGATGTTTTGATTTATTGTGTCTTCACTGATTTTTCTTTGGTTCATCATATTCGCATTTCGAAAAGCCCTTCCCCTGTTTGCTTTCTTCTCTCGCCGGCGTATTATGCGGCGATCTCATCGATTTCTACTCACCGGTGCAGCAAGACAACCTCCACTCTGGCGCAGCAACCCCTTTGAACGGCGTAATTTCATCAAGTCTAAACCTCCCGCGGTTAAGTGGTTCAAAAATAATAAGTAATAAAAAGCCTTTCCTACTGTCCTTTAGTTATCTGTATGTAGTGTTTTTTAGTAAAGATGTTTTGTTCCTACAACTACCAAGATCGGTGGAACCAAGTTATGATTTAGCTTTAAGCTTGCTATTATGAATAATGCAGACATGTTTTGATAATTTTTTTGGTCGATGGCCATCAAGTTTTTTATGGTGTTAGGGTTATCCATTGCACTCTACGTGTTTGTTTAAATGCTTAAGTCATCTCCGAACAACAACAAACACTTAGCCTTTGTTAGCTTTGGCCTTCTACATCTCCAGATGCATTTTTTCACTAAAACAACTCCCCTTTTTCATCTAAAGACCAACTTTTACTTTATAATTTCACTAAAACAACTCCCCTTTTTCATCTAAAGACCAACCTTTACTTTATAATTATTTAGTGTAATCAGTTTGACACTAAAGTTTATTAAAGAGTAGAGAAAAACAACCCATAAAGCCTTATTATCATATTACTTCCTTAAACATTGAGAATCCCTTAACACTCAACACTATAAAAATGATTACTACAACTTCAAGATTCATAACATTGTTACTAACCTGAACATTATTTATCGAGGGTACCACAAGATGTTGTGTTAACAGCTGCCAAATGCTTTGTAATGAAATGGGTCACATGTTAGTAGTTATACCTTTATGTTAGTAGTTGTAATGAAATGGGTCACATGTTAATCTTTCTAGCATCATTAAAATGTATTTAATATCAAAATTCTCATCTTTGTATAAGCAGAGGCTCAATTAAACGCCATGGATGAAGAAAAATCAAAAGATATGGAGAATGTGAAGAAAAGTCAAAAGAGATGGAGGATGTCTAAAGAGACGGAGGTTTTGAAAATGTAGCAATTGGTTCTTTTTTATGATTTATGTTAGGTTTTACTCCTTACTCATTTATAAAATTGAAGTCTAGTTTGCAATCACTAGAGAAGTGAAGGTTTTGGAAATCAAGTAAATGTTTTTTTTTTCTTTCTTTCTGATTGAATGATACAATTCATTTTATGATTTAATGGTATTGTGCAGTTATTATATCTAATTGAAAAGAGATATAGAGATGAATTAATTCCATGAATTTCACAAATGATTTAATGGTGTTATGTAATTATTATACCCATTTTGTAAATGATGCAGTAGTTAATGAAATTATTTTTAGGTGACAGTTCCCTTTTTTAGGATTTAATAGTACGGTTCTAGCATTTAATGCTCTTTTTATGGAAAATAGCATTTATTTTTTGAGACGGTTTTCAGCATTTTTTGAGGCGGTTTTCTAACCGCATCATTAAATAGGGGTATTTTTAGTGCGATATTTGTTGGTACGGTTCAATACCCGTATCATTTAATCATTTTAATCGCATCAAAAGAAGCTTTCTGTACTAGTGTAATTTCTCCAAAATATGTGATGATAAGTCAAATATATATAATATGATATAAACAAAAAGATCCACAAGATTGGGATTTTACCTAGAATTGGTTTTGCATTTTGCAAGATTGAAAACCTCACCTAACTGAAATAGTTATAATTTGATGCATATATTTTTTTTATATGTTACATGAGATTTGGAACATATTTTTAAGCTTAAAGCAATATGTGAATCACTTTTTTATTCACATGTCGTCTAATCACATTCGGTAATTTGAAACATATATTATTGTTATCACTTTAACAAAATATAATTAATATTTATGAATTAATTTCAAAATTGACTAAATGTGAAAACAACATAAATTATAATAAAAAATATTATTTAAATTTTACAATAAATTAATGACCATGTGACGATACAAAAATAATATTCAACATATTTAAAAAAACAAATGACCCAGAAAAAAACATATAACAAAACTACATAGAATAATATAAAATGCAATACTCGTATAAATAGTCGACAAGTAGCATTTTGTATAAAGAAAAAGTCAACGTGTGTGTATCGTGTGTGCATTAATATATATGGCAAATGACCATATAAGATGTGAGTAAAAGGTAAAATAGATCATCAAAGGCTCAAAGCCCTCTCTTTCTCCGTGAAGATGACTATGATCGGCAACCTGATAAGATCTGGTAGAAGGCAGCTTCACACAATCATCTCTAAAGAAATCATTAAACCCTCTTCCCCGACCCCTTCACCCCTCAAAACTCACAATCTTTCGTTCATCGATCAAGCCACCATAAGCACGTTTGTCCCGTTTGTTACATTCTACCCTAACACAGGCATTTATCCAAGTTCCCATGATATAACACTTGACCTGAAGAAGTCGCTATCTCAAACATTAACCAAGTACTACCCTTTTGCTGGTAGGTTCGCCAAGGTAGCACCATCCTTTGTAGATTGCAACGACCATGGAGCTGAGTTTCTTGAAGCTTCCATTGATAGCTCGCTCTCTGATTTCCTTAAAACCTCGCAGCATCAAGATCTCGACCAATTCTTTCCACATGGTCTCGTAAATCAAAAATCCAATCGTCCAAATGATGATCATCTTCAAAGCAACGGAGTGATCCCGCTGGCTGTTCAGGTCAACCATTTTGAATGTGGTGGGGTAGCAGTTGCAATGTCGTTGTCCCACAAGATAGCAGACGGAAACAGTTTTGTTCATTTTTTAAGCGACTGGGCAAAAATGACACAATTGTTATCATCGAGAGAGCAGAAACATGGACTTCCCGATGACCCCCACTTTATTCCTTATGAATACATGAATCTAAATTATAATGGTTTTTCACTTGGATCTGATGAATGTGTTACAAAGAGTTTCATTTTCCCTAAAGCAAAGATAAACGAGCTTAAACTCAAAGTCAAAGCCATGACCGCAGAAGCTGGACAACCCATCACAGACCCTACTCGCATTGAAGTTTTGAACTGGCTGCTTTATAATTCTGCAGTGACAGCAGCCACCAAAAATAATTCAGGGTGTTTCAAACCCACCGGTGTCGGTCAACTAACAAACATGAGAAGCAGATTTATGGAGAAGTTGCCTGAAAAGAGCATCGGAAATTACTTCATGATAATGGATACTCTAACACACAACGAAAGTGAACTGAAGCCGGAGTCCTTCTTCAGTGAGCTCCGGAAGCAAAAGAAGATGTTCCAAGGCATAAGAGATATCCAAACCGCGTTTGGTATTCTTTCGGGAATTACTATAAAAGAAGGTCAAAGAAGATTTGATAGTGTTTATCTTTCTACAAGCTTGTGTGGGTATTCTACATATGAGATTGATTTTGGGTGGGGAAAGCCTGTAAAAGCAACCATGGCCGGAGATCTAAGAAAGAATAGTTTTATTATGATGGATGCTCCAGACGGGGATGGCATTGAAGTACTCGTGTGTTTGGGAAAGCAAGATTTGGCCGTTGTTCAAAGTGATCCTGAGCTTCTTGCCTTTTCTAATTAGTTTTCTTATTTGTGAAGTTTTACATGAGTGCATGAATTCCAAATCTAAGTAGCTAATTAGCTTCTTTGTTCATACATGCATGTTTCATATCGTAATGATTCAAAACATCAGTGTCGTAATGATTCAAAACATCAGTGAACGTTGTTGCTTTTTATCAATAAGATCTTTTAATTTCCTTTCTATTTTTTTTCAATTTTATTAATATACTAAGACCCATGTAATACATGAGTTAATTAAACAAAATTAAATATAAATATCTAAATATCTAACAACTTTGGATTTATAAGAAATAAGAAAAATAATGAATTATTAAAATTGATTTTTTTTGGCTTTTAAATTTAAATAAATAAACAAAATAAACTAATAAGTTTTAATTTGAGAATTTTGAAATAAGAAGATAAGTCCATTAATGAACTTGATATTTATTTATTATTACATTTATTGTAATTACATTAAACTATTATGTGAAATTTATTAAAATAGAAAAAAACCCATAAAATGACATGTGGAAAAGAAATTAATTTAAAATAATCACAAAATGACATTTGACAAATTGAATAAGAGTGTGACATGTGGAAAAAAAAACCTTCATTTGTTAGAGTAGAATATAAAAAGCTAGATAGTTATTAATTAATCATGTTTGCTTTGGAATGGAAAAAAAACTAGTTATTAATTAATCATGTTCGCTTTGGAATGGAAAAAGACTTTTTTTATGTGCTCTTGAAAGCTGTTATGTTATTAGTTAATAAATCTTAACCATCTTATTAAACATATTACACATTTCTTGAAATTTAAGAGGTACAATACCTACTACCTCATGTATAACTTATTATCCACTACGACTACTCATTGGGAATTAAACAAATATTTTTTATTCCTAGAGTCACCATAACTCACAAAAACCCTAAATTAGTCGTCTTTATCTACAAACCCTAAATCATGTTACGCCGATCCTCCTCTCAAACCGTCCCTCCGATCATCACAATTTCAAATACAAACTCCTCCACACCGTACACACCAACATATCAAGTTACGACCTTTCGTACAACTGCATCTTTCAGGAAGAAGACGAAGTCAGGATATGAGGCGTCACCTTTACCGAAGACCTTTTCAAAATCGCATCCACTGTCATCAGATCGAACGTAACTACGCTCGATAAGTGAATCCTTCCGTTATCAGAAAAACTAAGGTACCTAACAAACAACATCGCAAGAAATCTCCGGTCAACGGCGAATATCCAACCTTACGTACCAAATTACAGCAAATCAGCGGGAAGCCTATACTAGACGAACTACAGAAAAATCTAGGTAAGTTTTTCCAATCTTTTTTCTATTTGACCTAATTCTCACATCATCTCGACCAATCTTTTATGATTCATCTCTCTCCTTCATGTTTTGATTCCGATTTTTGGTTACAAGAATTTTACTGGTTCACACGGAGTGGTCTTAGTGGGGAGGCTGTAATGGGTTATGATTTTTAGTGGGGTAGGATAGTGGTTGGTGGTGATTAAGATGGGCTGTGATGGTGGCAATATAAGGTGGTTTTGGTGGTGGGTATCATGTCTTGCAAGCCTTCTGCAAGCTAATATCTATTCCCTTTGTGGCTGTGATATACCCAAAAATGATTTGGTGCCCAAACTGCTTCATTCTTGATTAT